GTACCGACATTTTTTTTATTCCCGTTTAGGGCCTAACATTATTGGCTCTTATTAGAATTGTAGATGTAGATGTAGATTGTAGATGTAGATGTAGATGTAGATAGATATGCAAAATGACGACCGGTAAAAAAATATAATTTTTATCTAGTGTTGATATATTATAGTTAAAAACAATACATTTCATTGTATATTTAATTTTGCATGACAATCAATAAAAGTCTAGACAAACATTACCTCATATTTGATTGCCCATGGTCCACTATATATTGTAACTTATAGAGTTAGAAATTTCAAAGGTCATAAAATTTTGATTTGTAGTGACTCTGAAAATTATAATTCAACTACTTACGAATGTAGTTTACTAAATCTACAAATGCTTAAATTTAAATGCTTTGTATTAAACATATAATATAATATAGTTTATTATTTGTAGTAATTACCCACCTTTATTGTACCAAATTAACATAATTATTAAATAAAACTTTATAAATGATTAAACCTCATATTTCCTTTCTATATATGAAATTTAATAACATTAATAATTTTTAATAACATTATATAATTATAATATTTTAAATCTTTAGTGCCTTCAACTTTAGATTGAATTTTGATAATTAATGTTTAATTTTGTCTTTTTTTTTTTTACATTATTAACAATAAAATTACTTAAATTTTATACTGTACATCGCATTCTTTTTTTGTTTTTGTTTTTTTATTATTACTATTATATAGTAATCTTGAATTATTAAGAAGCCATATTTAATGACCGTGCATCGCGCGAGAGACTTACTAGTATAAACAATGGCGGCAATGACAATGGTAGTGGTAATCTTACTATATAAAATAGTCGCACACCTTGGGATGCACAATAGAACCAAAATCCCGCCCAAAAAAAAAAAAAAGCTGCGGTTTAATTTGGCAGAGGAAGGAGGAGATGAATGGTCAGTGTTATTCATTATTTAATTCATTTAATATGGTAATGGTTCATATTCCATTCAAAATCAACTCAAATCTGATTAAATAAGGAAATAATATTCAGCCGATTTGCATTTCCCATAAACATTTCAATGTCCATCTTAAAATACAACGATTGGCATTATCAAGAGAAATACATCAAGGTGTTTATCCTACTTATAAATACACCACTTTGTTTCAAACACAAACTCCTCAACTATAATTCAACATTAGAATCTCGGTATCTACCAGAATACAGCATTGCTCGGACTACAACTGCACAAGAACTCAGTTCGAATGTATCCGCTCTACGATCTTGGACGTGAAATCTCAACATTGAATACCAAGATTGCAATTGAACTCCGTGTTGTGCATTCATACCGGATACCAGAACAGAAAGATAGTGACTCAATCAATTGTAAATAAGTTGTATTCCATGACTCGAAGGTATATTTTCAATTTTTTAGATGTTTTCCAGTATACTGAAAGCACACAGTAATTTTTTTTTTTTTTTTTCTTTTGGTTGTGTTTATTCAGAATGCTGAAAGCATGCTTAGGAATACAAACAACTTCTTTACCATTTTGTATGTTTTTTTCAATACTGTTCTTTTATGTTTATAATGCTGATATAAGTTTTAAATTAATGAATGATGTATGGATAGGTTGCCCTTTCAGAGTTATTAAATATTATCAATATTAATTATTTCACTGTTCCAGTTCATATTGATATTGAAGTTATATTTTTTAAATGATGGTTTCCAATCATCTACACTGTAAAAGTATGTGATTGGAGGAATCTTATTTTTGTGTATTTTATTGCTTTTTATGAAGCAGATTGAAGAAATTATTATCTACATATTGATCAAGTGAAGTCTTGGTCTCCTAAACTGCATCTGATTGTGCATGCTGGATAGTTTTATATAAATATTTCTTGTATTGAAATATAATTTTTTTTTTGAAATATAAATATAACAATCCAGCTCTTTTGATACTAAATTGGTTTTCAACCATACTTCCAAGGAATTTGTCGAGTTCTTTTTTGTTTCCATAAAAGTTATGGTAGGTGCAGTTGAGAGGATATTACTTTAAAGGACATATATAGAGATGGGAATGAGTGAATCAAATGTGTCTGTGGACTTCTATCAGTAAATCAAGTTGGCAGATGAAACTGTCAATAAACAAAAAAAAATGTTCAGTTAATATGTACTCTGTTTCTGTTTTTTCCTTTGTGTGGTGGGGTAGTAAGCTTTCATTATTAGTATTCTTTGAATTTGAAGGTTGCCCAACGAACAGCTTCACTAACTGAACAGATTTCCTTCTCTGTGTGGTGAGACACTTCATTGATTCACTAAGAGATGAAGTTTAAATTATTAGGAGGCTGCCAAAGAGGTTAGGCAGGTGATCTGGATACCAACTGCATGCAATGCCCCCTATTTGTTGGTCAATTGAAATATACTTTAAAAAGGTTTAAGTTATAGCAATTTTTGGTTCATTAAGGAAGAAGGATATAGATAGATCCTTTCAAAAAAATAGGATATAGACAGATAAGAATTCAATCTTATTGACTTTTGGAATGTCTTTTATGTGTATTGTATTATGTTGGAGGTAAAAAAAACTTTGAAGACAGTTATGTTATTTTTTAATATGTATACTATTTCTTGAATATTTGTTTTTTTTTGCTTCACTTGATTTGATGCAAGAATGCCCTGTAGGCAAAGAAGAATATGGTGTCTTTCTTGGCTAAGATGATTAGTTATTTCACTATATTACCCAGATGCCACAAGGTATCTCATAGACTATTGAACCTGGATACCCTATCAGGCCCCTTACAGAGGTGGGCATTGAACTAGAGGGAAAATTTGGTTTTAAGCATATAACAAAGCTAGGAGTTTCTGTAAGGCCATATGTTAGTCAAGATGTCCCAGTTCAAATGATGTCTAATAAAGAAGAGCTTGGAGTTTTTCCTCTCTGCTTTCTTGATAATAATATGATAAACCATAACTTATTTTGGTTGCTCAAGCTAGAAGCTAACTATGTTTATTTCTTTTTCAGCTCAGCCAAGCCATTGGTTCAATTGAAGCAATAGCCAAAGCATCAAAGGAGTGTATTTTGGCAATTTAACATTGACCTTTCAGCCAATAAAGCTTAGAGAATATCAATGTTTTATAGAGACTTGAAGTATACCAGGCTGCTAAAGAAAAACTAATACATGGATTGAAGAAAGGTGTGACTTGCTTAGAAGTCGGATATTTGATTTGATATAATGTCTGTCAACTTAGGAACTACTCAAATCTCTTATATATTTCATAGTATGGCAAGGTATGGAATATATTTGTTGTCCGCAAAGGAATATGCTAAATGTAATTAATGCTGCAAAAGAAGTGATAAAATTACTTCCAACACAGGTTTAACACTTTCTCATATAGAGTTCCTATTTTATAATAGTATTATTACATGGTTTACCAAATGTACATTTAATGATGGTGTGGATTGTCAAATTGGATTATCATAGTGATTTTGTTTTGCAGTTTGATTGCCATACAAGACACCTATTTTAATCTTAACTACTTTTTTTTTTTTGAAGTGTATCCAATTTTTTTTGTAAAATTCCGAATGCAATTGTGGAGCTCAAAATGTGCTAATCGTTCAAGACACCTCCTTGGAGCAAAGTGCAATGGTTTTTTTTTTTTTTGTTGGTGTCTTTGATAAGATGTTTTAATAGTTTGTAATTTTAAATATTTTATATTAAACTTTTGAAATAATTTGTTATTTTAACTAATTACCCATCTTAAGTATTAATTCTTATTTTAATTGCAAATGACGTCATATAATTTTTTAAGACAACCTAATCAACATAATTAGTAAATGACAAAACTATATATGAATGAATAAATTTCATATCTCCATTTTAGCTGTGAAACTTAATAAAATTAATATTTTCAATACTTATAATCTTTAGTCCGTGCATCGCACGGGTATAATACTAGTGATAATGATAATGATAATAATAATAATAATAATAATAATCATCATCATCATCGTATTAAGCTAAAAAAAATATTATCATTACATGGACTCTATATCAAAACACGAGGAACAAAATTCATACTCATAAGGTACATAATTTCATAACATTCAATTTTATTTTAATAGGGAAGAGAAATAGCTTATTACAAATATTTTTTTTTTTTTTTAATGATGAGAGAAACCATAGTCATTAATGATGTGCACAAGGACAACTCTGTTTTGGTCCTCGGCCCAAGCCGTGCCTACATGGAAACTGTGCGTAGACTACACCGACCTCAACAAGGCATGTCCCATGGACCCATTCTCATGGACCCATTCTCCCAACCCAACATTGATCAGCTCGTGGACAAGACAATCGGGTGTGCCCTCATGAGCTTCCTAGATGCCTTCCGATGGTACCACTAGATTTTTATGTACGAAAAAGACGAGGAGAATACGGCATTCATGACCCCCGAAGGGATCTTATGCTACCGAAAGATGAATTCTTCAAATATGAAGAAAATGAATTCCTTACTCTCCTTTAGTATTTTATTTTTTTACACCTTTCGAGAGAAAAGTTATCTAACGAATTCTTAGATTATCCTCATATATCTTTATTATGTAAAATGATTTGTGTCTTTATACTAATTATTTTCAACAACTTATTTCGAACAAACCAATCAATGAAATCGACATTTCAAGTAATTTTTTTCATAAAATTTAAATAAAATCAAGAGCCATTTAAGGGACATTTTAACAATGAAAGTTTCAGAATAAAGCACACTACTTCCACCAATAATATTTTACCAACAAATACTAAAATACACAAATAACAAAACATTTATATAAAAGTATTCTTTAAAAGTTAATGACAACATGGGGTGGTGGCGCAGTTGGCTAGCGCGTAGGTCTCATAGCTTAAGAGTGATCCTGAGGTCGAGAGTTCGAGCCTCTCTCACCCCATATTTTTTCGCTACTTCCACAAGCCACAATGTTCTGTTTTTTCCTTGGCGGTGAAAAATTAAAGCACCAACAAATATTTCCATTGCCGGGAATCGAACCCGAATCTCTCGGGTGAGAACCAAGTATCCTAACCAACTAGACTACAACGGATTAATTGTTTTATTATGTCATCTTTAATTATTTGACCCTCTATAAGACACATACACATGACTTATTTTACAAATATGATTTAGGTATATAATTTGTGTTCATAAACACAGAATTTTACAACACAAGACACATAAATTTATAAATAAGACATAATTACTAATTTATTTCAGGTACAGAATTTCATAACACAAGACACAAAAACTTAAAACATAAGACCCATACACATGTACTAGTGTCCACGATGCACTGTAAACCTGGTCCATGGTATATGGATTGATAGTTTTGTGCAAATGATAGGTATGGTAAATAATGTATCATGTGAAAGAGCTATGAGCTAACTTCTTTCAAGAGTTAAATTTGCTGATAGAATAATATGCATCATGTTGAAGTGAGAAGATAATGGATATTGTATGGAAAAAAAAAATCTTACTACAAATTATTATTTAGACTTTATTTTCAAATGTGGCATTATCTATAAACTTTATGTTTTTATTGATTGGTTGTGAATTAATCAACCTTATTTTTTGTTAACAAAAATTTCCTAAATAATAAAATTTTGAAAAATAATACAATAATGACCTACAATGGCTATCTAAAAACATAATATGGGATTTTAATGAGGTATTTCACTAACAGTATATATCAAAATAGTTATTTAATGTTGGGGGTAGTTTGATGGTAGTACGTGTTTTGTATTTTGTTACTCTATGAGGTATATGGATGAATCTCATAAAATATGTATTTTTACAAAAAAAAAAAAAAAAAAAAAAAAAAAAGAATGTCTTTCAAAAATTTTCCATAAGAAGGGACTTGGTAAAGCAAATTAAGTAAATGAATAGAAACTTTCAAACTCTCAACCACCCCTAAAAACTTTTTCCACCTACTATCTTTTGCTTGCTGCTGAAATTTTTGAGGAAAGGGTAAAGGTGGTACATACCTTCTCACAGGCTTCTTTCCCTTATCTTGAACTTGTGGATTATTTTCCACAGCAGCTGGCTCAACTTCTACCTCCTCAAGTTTTTCTTCGACTTGAACTTTTGATTGGAAGGGATGGTTCTTCAAGTACCTTGCCACTCCTTGTAACAATTGCACTGACATGCTCCCTTGGATTTCGGTGTTAGCTGGCAACTTTCCAGTGACTCTGGTGCTAGATGTAGAGACTTGATTGACAAGTTGATTTTCAAACATCTTGTTATGGGTACTCAATTGGTCTAACTTCTCAATTATTTTTTTATCCCCTCTTCACTTTGTATTTGAGATTTTAACAACATGCACATCATGGCTTCCAAATTTGATTGTGGAGGAGCTTCCACAGTGCATAATGGGGGTCTAGGTTGAGACTGCATCCTTGAAATTGTTGTCATTGAAAACCAGGTAGACCTTTATTGCCAAACTGTTGAGGATTTGCAGCCCCCATTGGATTACTCCATGAAAATCCTAGGTGATTTCTTGAATTATTTGGATTATAGGCCCTTTTGAGGTTGAAAGGATTGTTGAGGTGGCCTATTATATCCAACCAAGTTAATATGCTCCATGGAAGATTGAGAACTTGAATCATTGAGACATTCTCCCAAATTATGTACACCGCCACAAAGATCACACATTAAAACTTGAGTAGAAGGAGTAGGAGGAGTAGAGACATAACTCGACATAACTCACAACTTGATTTTTGATGGTGAATTGAGCAAGTTTTTGAACCAAAGAGGCAACATTATCCACCTTAGCTGACAATGCGGAAATTTGCTCGAATTCATGTATTCCTCATACAAGTTTTTGGGAAGATCTCTCCGAGTACCAAGTTGATCCATTCATAGCTATCTTCTCCGATAGTTCTTCGGCATGTGTTGGTTCCAAAATTGTGAAAGATCCACCCGTAGAAGCATCAAGCAACCCTTCATAAAATGCCATCATTAAATCCCAACTTTGTATCCCATGGTGTGGACATTTTCTTCGTAGCTCCTTAAATCTCTCACAAGACTTAGTTAAGGACTCACTTGCCAACTGCTTGAAGTTTTGAATTGCTCTTCTCATCCTTTGGGTCTTGGAAATTGGGTAGAACTTCTTCAAAAATTCCCTATGTAATTGATCCTAAGAGACAAAATGGTTGTCTGGAAGTGAGATGAGCAAACCATGAGCCTTATCCCTGATAGCTTCTTGAGGTACACCATTGATTTTGAAAGTGCCACAAATACGTGGGAACTTTGTGATATGAGAATTAGGATCCTCCGTGGGTGCCCCTCCAAATTGATATGAAGTCACCATGTGCAAGATGACCGGCTTGATTTCAAAGTTGTTAGCCTCCACACCTGGAACATTGATACTATCATATTCCTCAACATTCAGAGCGATGCAATGTGATATAGAGCTTGCTGCGGGAGGGTGTTGATTAACTCCAATGTTACCCCCCCCCCCACCTCCATTGGGATTCAACTGGTTGTTTCTTTGTTACTGTTCCAACCTTCTCTGTTTTATAAGAAACTTGGCTTGCTTTTCGATCTCAGGGTTTAAAGGCAATAATCCTTCTTTTACCGAAGATCGTGTGCGCACAAAACCCAAGTTCTTAGATCCAAATCGAAACCAACTCGAACAAAAACAACTCGTTAACGATTAGCAAAAATAAAATAAAACAAAAATAAAAATGGATTAGATTCCTAGAATAAAATTTTCACGAATGTCAATACTTAACGCCACTTCCCTGGCAACTACGCCAATTTGGTTGCAATATAATTCACAAACAAATAATACCTAGAGTACGAGGTTATCGATCCATAGAGAAGTGTGGTGTATTAAGCACTAGCTACTAATTTATTCTTGTGAAGCTAATCCTAATGATTATCTAGGATGGTTGCACTAAATAAATTAGACAAAGCAAAATATCAGGATTTTGAAAACAATAGAGAGAGAATAAGATCCCCGGGATTCAAGTATTTAATCCCCTAGTGCCTAACTTAAGTGCAATATTAAATCTGGGTTTAAACAATTGTGAGAATGCAAAGATGGTATAGACACTTGATGAATGTCTAAAACTAATGCTTTTTCCTTGCACATTTTGGTATTTTTACTGGTTAATCATTATATTATGGAGCCAATTTGGTAACTTATGGAATGATTGTTTTTGCTTAGGTGACTTGACAAGAAAATGATGTTTTGAGCCAAACATTGAGTTATTTGATCAAGATTTCAAGTCTTCATAGCATGAGGATATTTTTGTGAGGCAAAATGAAGAAAAGAAGATTGAACAACACTCTTTCATGTGCCAAATATTTGTGCCTTAGTGGTCTTGATGATATAGGCAATTCAATGCAAAGGCAAAGCAAAAGATAGTAAGGTGGCATTTCTCGCCCAGATTGGCACAGTCTCCGTATTTTGGCCATATCTCTGCGTAGAAGTGTCCAAATTAAGTGTTTTTTATGTCATTGGAAAGCTAACTTGAATAGCTACAACTTTGATGAAAACCACAAACGCTAATTCAAAGGTTTTGAGGGTTAAAATTGGTCTAGAAGACGACCTTAGTGCACAGGTAGTGCACATTGCCTGTGGCCACAGGTCTGGCCACGGCCGTGGCCACTGGGCAGTGTGCCCTGCATTTCTGGCCACGGGTGAAGCCACGCCCGTGGCCACACCCGTGGCCAGCCCTCTGCAACTTTTTGCAGCCCGTTTTTTTACCCTTTTAAGGGGATTTTTCCACCCCAAAACATATCTTTCATTACATCTTTCATTTCCCTTTCATTTCTCTAGTTAGGGTTAGTTTAGAATAGCTTAGATTAGTGTAGATTTGTGTTTCCTTTCCATTTCCAAGCTCAAGAACATTACAAATCTTGGATTTCAAGGCTTCAATAGAAAAGTTTTCTTATTCATCTCTTCTCTTTACTTTTCATCTATGCTTTCAATTTCTCTTTTAATATTGTGTATCTATTGTTATATTATGAGTAGCTAAGTGTTTTGGGACTAGGATTTGGTTTGATTTCTTGCTATTGATACCTATTTGAGTTGTATTGCATAAAGGGGTTTATTTGGGTGATCTAGGGTTGTTGTGTGAAATGGGTTTGTTGAGAAATTTGTGTATGATTGTTGGATCTCAATTATATGCTTGATTTGGAGTGTGTTTGTTGCTACGAGAGTAGAGCTTGTACACTAGCCACACATTCGCGCACTTAATACCCAATACAAGAGTATTTTAGGTGTTAAGGAAAATCTTTGCCTTGTGTTCTTGTTTGGGCATCCTTGGGTTGAATTGTCACGAGAGTGGAGTTCAACATGAAGTTGCAAGTCCAAATAGCTACGAGAGTGGTATTTGGACACTTTTGTGCATCTCACTTACCCTATGCCTTGATTTAATTCCCTAATCCTTAGTACAATATTTGGCATCTTAGCTTGAATCAACCAAATCCCGGTCCTTTGTTTTACTTGTCTTATTTGTTATTAACCTAATCTTATCAAACCAACTCATTAAGGATAGGTCTAGCTTCTAAAAGAATAGTTTTAGCTTGTGCTTAACTCCACTTTGCATCAATTCCTAACATTACAAGAGCCATCTCCAGTGGAACGATATCTAAACTCTATACTGTGATATGATACTTGATGGATGCGTGAAAAACTTCCTCATCAACACTACATGAAAAATGCACATAGACAACGGTTTTTCACTGTTGTCGTAGGGGTAAAATTTCTGTTGTTGAAGCCGGTCTTGTTATAAGTCCCGCGCATAGATAGCGGTTTTAAACCGTTGTATTTTCTAGAAATGACAATGGTTTTTTAACCGTTGTCTATTAAGTGTTGTTGAAACTGGTGTTGTTAAAAGTCACGCACACGGACAACAGTTTTTAACCGTTGTCGTTTCTAGAAAAGACAATGGTTTTGAATCCATTGTCAATTGAGTGTTGTTGAAACCGGTGTTGTTAAAAGTCACGCACATAGACAACGGTTTTTAACCGTTGTCGTTTCAAGAAAAGACAATGGTTTTGGATCTGTTGTCTATTGAGTGTTGTTGAAAATAGTGT